TCGATATTGTTATTGTCTTTATTCATGTTGAGTGGTTAAAACGATAAGTTATTCATTGACAAAGAGATTAATGACAACATCTATTTTTATTGCCAAATACTTGCTACTGTGTTTTCATACATAGAATATCAATTGGTAATACTCGAGGTTAATGCAGGGGTATCGAAATATTGTCTCGCCACGTGGCTAAGTGGGTAAGACGCTGGCTCACTAGCCTGGAGGTCGGGTGTTCGATCCCTGCATTGGCCGAGAAAGTTCATCCAGATTTTCCGGCGTGGTTTCCCTTTGTCAGTGATGCAGGACGGAGGGCCTGACAAGGACAGCTGTCTAGTCGTTCGGATGGGACGAAAAACCGAGGTCCCGTGTACATATTGGCGTGCACGTAAAAGATCCCTTGGCAGTTGGAATTCGATATAAGAGTTGGCCGTAGCGCCGCTGCCCGGGCAAAATTTCCCTCATAGCACACTGTATGGCGTATGCCCGTCTTCATTAGCCCAGTTTAGGAGCAGAACAGTAGGACGTTAAACCCCATTTCATTTCATTTCATTTCAGCCATTTTGAGATTAAGATACTTCTATTTACGACTGTCACGTGTGCAAAATTTAAAGAAATAGGGTTTAACGTCATACTTGTCTGCACCAGTCAGGCTATGGTGGAAATTTTCCTGAATAGCAGTGCTTCGGCCTACTCAAATTTCCATTTTCAACAATCTATGGCTATTTTATATACAGAGGAGGTAGTGCACGTGACCTCGTTTTTTTTCGTCCCAACCGACATTGTTCCTTGTCAGACAACCCGTTCGGCACCACTGGCAAGGATAAACCACGCTGGAAAATCTCGAGAGACATTTTCGGCCAACACGAGACCTCCTCTTACGGAAAATAATTTGGCATCGACAGCGTCGCTTCCGTCTATTCGAGTTTCACCTTTCAAGGATTCTTTAACCCGGCTTAATTTGGAAGTTTTATTACACCGCCCAATGAGAAGAGGGAACCGGGATTGAAATTATTCTTCAAATTAGGATTAGATGATTTGACAATGTAGTGGAGGGTCCCATTATATACTACCGCTCCTCTACTAATTGAAGTAATACAGATGCATATATTACCGACATCTTTTATATTTCCATTAGAACAATTCTTCAATGGAGAAACAATTGCTTTGCTTCTCTTCTGAAACATTTAGTTTTTAATGTAAAACGAACGTTGCTATAAATCATTAAGATGTGGACTTGTATAGGATGTTTCTTTCTTTTTTATAATAATTTAATTATAGCGATCGTGTTCTAAAAACATAAAGTTCCTGAAAATGTGACATGCCGGTGGTCTCTTTTCATAGAAAAAAGAATATTTCATCTGAAGGTTTCTATGTCAATATCATTGTGTTTTATAATCAGAGTATATCAAAAGTTTTTAACATGCCATAGCCGTATATCGGTGTCTTCAATCACGATCTTGGGTCAATAATTATGTTAAACTAAGAGAGGTAATCTAATTGACCTGACACAAGGACATGGATTAACGTATAACTATGATGAGAAAATTATATGAATATATTTAATTGCTTATGTGATGAATTATATCCGTCGTTTATTTATATAGAAAAACAATAACTAGTCCAGCAAACTGTTTAACCTGCTCATAAATATCCCTGTCCGTAATAATTTTTTACGATAATTCTTTGAATATTAATCAAATGGGATCATATAAAAAGTGTTGATTATACTATACAATTAATTCAATTGAAATGAAATTACCCAAATTAAGAAATCGGTTCAAAATACTTCCTGTATAAACATACATAACGCCGAATCATTCACAAGTATCTCAAAGGTCAAATTATGTACTTTAAAAATGTAATGGAATTTAGTTGACTTCAGTATAGATATTAAACTTAATTGGGTGGCTTGTGTGAAAAACAATGTGCTTAAAAACATAAAGTTGACTGTCTGAAACCAACAGTAATAAATGTAGACATTGAAATGGCCATAACATACGTTAGAATTGCTGGGTAGAAATAAGTTTTGGCCCAGAACTTTTTTTTTTAAAATAAAAGACATTTTGTCTGTGTATAGTTTATATTTAACTTTTATTCTGGCATTTCGGTCGTAAATATTCTACAAATCGCTTTTACAGTAGGAATATTTATGACTGCATTTATGATGGGTATTGAGATTAATGGAGTTTCCACACTAAAAATCAAAAGTTTTACAAACACCGGTAAAAGGTTTAATTGTGAGTGCATTAATAAATCCAAATTTAATGAATATTGCAGATCAGCCTGTCCCGCATCGTGGGTTTTCTCGGGGGCCTGCGCCCCCCTCCCCCATGCGCAAACGAAATATTGAAATGAAGTAGAACCATATGCAATCCCCGGCATGACCTAATTCGTGTCGAAAGGACGTTAAACTCCATTTCGCTCTCTCCTAGAAGTGTTCATAAAATTTGTAGAAGTAGTTGACGTTTTTTCCGGTTTGTATTGTTACTTTACTAGTTTTAACTAAACTATAGATTATTAAAAGATACATTATGGCGGATTAGATAAAGAGCTGGCAATCCTCACTATAATAGTTAAAACTAGATAATGTAAAGGGAATTTGCTGAAAATTTCAGTCAAATTGATCACTCTGAACCGAGAATTTAGCGATTGAATTTTAGGCCTAACCTCGATCATCATTACTAAGGCGAGGAGGTATCGGGTTTTTTAGAAGGAATAACTATACTCCTCCACATGCAGGCATCCAACAAGACGCAGATGGACATATAATTTGTGAACGGTTGTCATAGAAAGAGTACGCATACCCTACCCCATACATAAATCCCATTGCTACATAAATTTTACATATCTTAGAAATAAGCGAGCGAGGGTCGACATCAAATTTGTAAATATTAGTTTCTGTGTAAATTTTTCGTTAACGATGAGAGACTAGCTACACTCTTAAAACACCACTTTAAACCGCTTTTGATTAAAGCGGATACTAATTAGCATGCTAAATCAAAGTTAAATCTATTCTGAAAAGGTTGAAGATTTTAAGTGATATGAACATGTAAGTTATATTCTAGAACTTGTTCAACTGGATTTTTAATGTATTTTAATTCTTTACATATATATACTTAACATCGAGTTACTATGATAGTACGAGACAGGTGTACATGTTTGAATGTAATCTAAATATTTTAATGCATACATGTACATGGGAAAATTGGTTTCGTAACATCATCTTTCAGTGGATAATTGGATTGTTAAGAAACTTTTCTCTTAAAATGTGATTAACATTTAATTTTATTTTAGTTGAAAATTTTATTACACGGAACTTTAAAGAGGAATTATATAAGAGCTAAACCTGCTCATTGCAGTTTTTTTTTTGTTTATACACATGACAAGCCCATAACCACGTCTTTTGAAAATCGGATGGCCTAGATATTGTGTGGATTAGACAATGCGGTAAACGCGAATATGGTCAGCTCTCGTGCCGGGAATTTGACTTAAATGTTCAATCAAATTTTACATTATCTATTTTAAACCAGTTCTTTGTTTAGATCTTACACAATGACTGTAAGAATTGTAATACAGAAGTTGTATAAAGCTTTGCAGATAGAACAAACATGCCTTGCCAAGTGCATTGAAATCTAATTATATCTGTATATACAACAGAGGATGTATGGATCATATTACACAAGCATGTTTCAACATTTATCATAGTCTAAAATATAACAGGAAGGAAATAATAAAACAAAATAACAATGTCGTTAATTGATAAGCAAAAAACTAAGTTCCGTCCACAAGCACGTCATTATTAACATACTTTAAAAATCACTTATACAATACGATATTTTCTCTCTTACTGGGACGTTAAACTGTACTCTTTTCGTTTCCATTTCCTAAGTAGACAACCAGACCCTTAGACACTAAGAATCGTCAAAAATAAAAGGAATGTACACCGGGAGGGCTGAAAGCTGCCTTTCTCCCGATCCATGATTTACCATGACCTAGGCAATATCCTATTCCGAAAGCTATGACCAGGCCCCTCCAAATCGTTTACCCAGAGGTTTAGATTGACAATACAAGAATATTGTCCAATAAAAAAGACAGCGAAAACAATACATGTACACAGTATACAATACAAAAAGAAAGACACAAAAAAGACGAAAAGCAAGAGAAAATGAATGAATTAAAACAACAAAAACGAGCAAACAGCAATGAGTACACGGGGTGTCAAAACTCAAATTCAAATGTAATAGTGAATTTTGTTTTTTACTAAAAGGCAGTCGAAAACAAATTCGTAATACTCCCGACAAAGCAGGCACGGTCCTTGTATTTAAGAGGCCAATATATCCCCTTGTTTAAACCTGTACGATTGATTTATGAAGTTTAGATTGAACTCGGCTCAGATAACTAATCCCCTTGGATTTATATAACAAAGCATATCCTATGTATATTTTATACTACATTAAGATATGATTTAGATAATTATTATTATTCAAGTGTTGGGAGTCATGGTAGTTAAGTGGGTAAGGCACTGACTCGCTAGCCTGAAGATCGAGTGTTCGATCCCTGCATTGGCCGAGAAAGTTCATCGGGATTTTCCGACGTGGTTTCCCCTTGTTAGTGGTGCAGGACGAGGGGCCTGACAAGGACAGCTGTCTAGTCGTTCGGATGGGACGAAAAACCGAGGTCCCGTGTATACATTGGCGTGCACGTAAAAAAAACCCTTGGCAGTTTGAATTCGATATAAGAGTAGGTCGGGCAGGTTGCACATTAGGTTGCTAAATTCCCTAATAACACACTGTATGGCGTATGCCCGTCTTCATTAGCCCAGTCGGAGCAGAACAGTAGGAACTTAAACCCCATTTTATTTCATTTCTTCAAGTGTCGCGTATCAAACACCGCATTCGATTAATACTGGGTAAATAAATACTTGCTTTTAACCGACCATTTTGATGCATTTAATTAAATTAAAATTAAGAAAGTTTTGAAACTTATGACAAAGTGTAACTTACGTTTTTGGTAAACTTTCTATTCCGTAGATAGAGATGAATAACTTTTCAACAGTACTCTGTTGGCTTTATATTGATTAAATGCGGGAAACCTTTCCACCCGCCATCTACAGTTATTATTGTCACGTGATATGTCACATGATTTATGAAATCCTGTTTTTGATCGATACACAAGCTTTTCGTTCCTTTTTTGTTTAGTTGATTGATACTTCATGTCAGTATATGATGGAATAAAATAAATGAAGTAAAATCTAATCTAGACAAAATACGGGATTTGTAAAAGTAGTTTCAATTCACATTACATGGAAACGATTTTAAGAACCCATCGTGTAAAAAGAAAAGGCCACTCAATTTTAATAAAATGTGGTTTTTCAGTGTTCTTTATTAAAGAGGATAATATAGAGATTTTTAGGCAGATTATGAAATAAAAACTATCTTAAGCGCGGTAACGCATGCTGTTGTGAATACCGTTAGAAACAAGGTATTAATTAAAGTGAGACCGAGTAGAACCGCCAGTTCACGTGGTAGTGGGCGCCAAGGTGACTCGGTGAGTTTGGCACGGATTCACTAAGCAGCAGCAGGTCCCTGGTTTCATCCTGCTGTTGACTAGGAGGTTCCTCTGGGTTTTTAAGCCTCGTTCCTGTTTATCAGTAGTAGCTGTCAAGAAATGGCATAAGATTGATCAATACCTAATGCTTTTATTTTGAATTTACAACACATGTGCAGCTAGTATAGCAACCTTGTAATAAGCCGTGTTTTATCAAAATGTTTCTTTCTGGTCGTCTTAGATCGCTGCGATGTGGGTGAATTTTAAACGCATAACTCTGCAAATAAGAAAGATGTTTTTTGGCCAGATTCATCCTTCTGATCAACTAATAAACGTACTGGGTCTTACAATATGGCGTTCCAAGCCTAAAAATGTTGATATCTTTAGTAAATCGTTCCAATTATTTTCATTTAGTTTGTCAAAATTAATCTTATTTTTATACTGGTTTTGCCGGGAACATGGCTGACAATTGCTATTTTTAAGAGCTCGGTTGATACATATTGGCATATTACTTACAAGTAAGACGACACCTAAGCGCCAATAAGGTTCGATTAATTGGTTGATAGTTGGTTGTATATATTTTATTGATTAGAGTAATAAATATGCTCAAATTTATCGCAAGACGCCAATCTTACAATTATCAGTTAATTAGTTTGCTTTTAACAAGAAGTCTCAAATATTTTATAACAATACTTTATGGAAAAAAGAATACTTCAATTTATAGACTTCCACATTATTATAGCTAATTAATATCAAAAATTGCGGGTTGTCCTATAACTAATCAAGAATTCTCAGAAATCAAATTCCTTCTATATAAAGAAATGATTAGATTGACGTTTTCTTATGGTGTATCGTCTATAATTTTTAATTAATTTAGATTATGGATACAAAGAAAGTGTCAATTAAAAAAACATACCAACAGTTACAAATAGAAGACACGCGCGTTATTACAGAACTACAATCAATTCGAACAACCAATAATCTTTTCAACATAATTCTTCAGAAGAATTCACATCTTGATATGCTTATTATTAGATGAACTTTAAAGCTGACAATAAAATGTGGTTTAACGTCCTACTTTTCTCCACCGACTAGACCAATGAAGACGGGCATATGCCATACAGTGTGTTATTAGGGAATTTAGCAACCTAATGTGTATACAGGACCTCGTTTTTTCGTACCTTCCAAACGACTATACGTTCACAGGCACGTGAAGGGATTAATAAGACGTTTTATTTTAATCCCTTCAAGTGACTGTGTATACGTTGTCCCTTGCCAGGCCCTGTCCAAAGGGGAACCCCGACGGAAAATCCCGATGGATCGAAAACGGGACCTCCAGGTTACCGAGCCGACCACTGAGCTACCGTGGTTCCAAAGGGGTGTGTGTGGTATTGTGTGGCTGAGTGGTTTAAGTATAGGATATTAACCTACCCGAGGTTGATATGGTAGAGAACGCGCGGGCTTCTCTCTACCATATCAATCCGAGGGTGAGTAGGTTTATATCCGACATATATACAACTGGCGGTAGTTTTTTCTTTGATGTCCATAGCAGTTATATCTCATAACAACCTGTCATGACGTCATCATAGGTTGATATATTCGTTCATATCAACCGCTGATGACGTCATGACAGGTTGATATTTCATATCAACCGCTAATGACGTCATCTCAGGTCGATATATTCGGCTCATATCAACCGCTGATGACATAGATGATCGAAATAAAACAAAAACACAGAAATAAATTTGTATTCTTTTGACAATTAAAAATTGTTATGTTACAGTTTTTAACATACCGGGCCGAAATAGACGGCGTACTTATCGATATACATGTATTTAGATCGGTTATCCATGTCTAAAACATCTTTCAGAATTTTCTTTTCGTCCACATTGCGATTATTTCTCCACACACTACAAGACTTGAAAGTATTTATCGCCCAAGAGTTCCTTTGTAAAGTATTTTTGGGTACAGTCCACTTAAAACAGTCGGTCAAATCCTTCTCTGAACATACCGAAAACCTTCAATCATGGTTTACTGTCAGAATTCTTGGAAAAGAATGCCTTTTGGTCCAGATTTTCTGCAGGCTTTGGATAGATCCTCGTCGATATTTGCATTCACATCTATTCCATCGTCAATATGTTGGCTAAAAAGGATTGATTATTCGTCTGACTTCGTATTACTACCCATTTTGTATTTGCTTTCAATTCAATACTATAGTCCAAAATGGCGATGTATAAACAAAACCATGCCCGTAATTACACGTGATTACTTAGGTAATTTCGCTATTTGGCGGAAACTATCGAGCAATTATCCAATCGTTGTTGCCTTTTAATGGAAGAGCCCATTAAATTTAAGGGTGAAATGGTGTTGTATATGTAGGATATAAACCTGCGTCACATGTCGACTGTGGGGAGTTTTAGCATGTTGGTTTTCTACATCTAAGTATAGCGACGCATATCGCTACAACTAATGAATCATTATTAACACATAATAAACAGGATATTAACCTACCCGAGGTTGATGTTCGCCCGCGCGTTCTCTACCATATCAATCCGAGGGAGAGTGGGTTTATATCCGACATATTCAACGCCATTTCACCCTTAAATTTAATGGGCTCTTCCATTAAAAGGCAACAACGATTGGTAGGGTGGCCCATGTACTCACAGAAATACAGTCCACCGCTGATAGTTCGAGACTACCACTGAAGCGTGCACATTCGCCGTGCCGAGACCAACTTTCTGACAGTTTGATACTATAAATAGCCATGGCACGTGCAATTCTCTACAAATCTATCAACTATTACAGCCGTAAAAAATTTATTGTTGACGATTTTGGATAGCAGTTAAATTAAGCTTCTTGGTTATTACAGCAGATTTAGAAATTACGTTCGTTTCATTTTTTAAATCGCTTTATCATTAACTGTACCGTTAAGAGCGGCATCTTTTGGTTTAGTACAAATAATATATCTGAATCACTCGGGTTAGGCAGGAACATGATACTAGCAGTAGTTTCAGTTTACTTTTACAAGCTTCTTAAAACGATTGTTGAGCTACCTAACGTGCTTATTTCTAAATTCAATTTCTTGTTCTAGCTTTCTGTTACGTTTCGTAAAAAAGTAGTCTTGATTATCCCGACCTGTCAATCAGACGTAGAATGGTCGATAGACTGGTTAAGCGAGACTAATTTCAAAACAAGGGCACGTAACCTATCTTTTACTCAAAAGTGTCTGGATGTTATGGACGACTCTTGGAACCAGTTTTCAGTCTATTATTTATACATGATTAATGGTCATAGCGTATTAAGTACAACATGATCGTTTATTTAGTGACTATAATTGTGTGAAACTGATTTGAGGCTTGGCATATATATAAATATTGTAGCGTAATTGTCGAGATATATGGAGATATTTATTTATGGTGGGTCACCCTACGATTGGATAATTGTGTGGAGAAATAATCGCAATGTGGACGAAAAGGAAATTCTGAAAGATGTCTTAGACATGGATAACCGATCTAAATACATGTATGACGATAAGTACGCCGTCTATTTCGGTCCTGAATGTTAGAAACTGTACCATAACAAATTTTAATTGTCAAAAGAATAAAAATTTATTTCTGTGTTTTTTTTGTATTATTTCGATCATCTACGTCATCAGCGGTTGATATGAGCCGAATATATTGACATGAGATGAAGTCATTAGCGGTCGATATGAAATATCAACCTGTCATGACGTCATCAGCGGTTGATATGAACGAATATATCAACCTATGATGATGTCATGACAGGTTATTATGAGATATATAACTGCTATGGACATCAAAGTAAAAACTACCGCCTGTTGTATATCGTCTGTCATATTAATAAACAAAACAAGATATACATACAGAACAAAACACCGTCTCATATTAAAGACATAAACTAATTTGAATATGTAGACTTTTATGTTAAGCTTTCTGTCAAGATTTATTACTGTTATACTGAAAATCACAATAAAAGTTTTGTTTGTTTTTATGATCACGCAATCCTTTAAAAGATAATGCATTCATTGAAGAACGTGTTTTGATGAGATAAACTGTGTTATAATGTGGACAATGATATATCTAACTGAAGTTAACAACAACAAAAAATTAAAAAAAAAACATTGGAATACACATTACAAACTCAATTTATCAGTTTTACAAATACCAGAAACGAAGTTTATTAGGACCAACAAGGAAACTATTAATTCAGGCCCTGGCTGGATAAGAAAAGTAGGCATACATATATATATGAATTAACATTTAGGACAGACCTATATCTTTGTATTTCTAAGAATTGGCATATGATATGGTAAATATAGACTGACGATGGCAATGAACTAGTCAATAAAAGTGGGGTAAAATAACATGACACTTACATAAACCACTCTTTAGTTTCTTTTTCATTTGTTTTTCTATTTACTCTACCAACATATGTGTGCAACAGACCCAGTCATTGCATAGTGGGTTTGACTTGGGAAAGAATGATCA